GTTGGCGGGGGGGGGGAGGAGGCGAGAGCCCTTCGCCCCCGTTTCCCTCTTTTCTTCTTATTCTTCTTTCTTTCCTTTTATATTCTCTTTCCCTTTCCCTTCTCTCTCTCTCTCTCTCTTATTTATTTTTTTGGCGGGAGGGGGGGGGTGGGGAGGTAAGAAGCTTTCGCCCTTCCCTCTATCCATCTTTTCTTCTTCTTCTTCTTTCTTTCCTTTTATATTTTCTTTCCCTTTCCCTTCTCTCTCTATCTCTTATTTATTTGTTGGCAGGGGGGAGGCAAGAGCCCTTCGCCCCCTTTCCCTCTTTCCTTATTCTTTTTCCTCTTCTTTCTTTCCTTTTAGATTTTCTTTCCCTCTCCCTTCTCTCTCTCTCTCTCTGTTATTTTTTTTTTTTTGGCGGGAGGGGTTGGGGGGGAGGTAAGAACCTTTCGCCCATCCTCCGTATCCATCTTTCCTTCTTCTTCTTCTTTCTTTCCTTTTATATTTTCTTTCCCATTCCCTTCTCTCTCTCTCTCTCTCTCTCTCTCTCCTATTTATTTGTTGGCGGGGGGGGGAGGGAGGAGGCAAGAGCCCTTCGCCCCCCTTTCCCTCTTTTCTTATTCTTTTTCCTCTTCTTTCTTTCCTTTTATATTTTCTTTCCCATTCCCTTCTCTCTCTCTCTCTCTCTCTCTCTCTCTCCTATTTATTTGTTGGCGGGGGGGGGGGAGGAGGCAAGGCTTCGCCCCCGTTTCCCTCTTTTCTTTTTATTCTTCTTCCTCTTCTTTCTTTCGTTGTATTATATTCTCTTTCCATTTCCCTTTCCCTTCTCTCTCTCTCTCTCTCTCCCTTTCGCCCTTCCCCCGTTTCCCTCTTTCCTTCTTCTTCTTCTTTCTTTCCTTTTATATTTTCTTTCCCTTTCTCTTTCCCTTCTCTCTCTCTCTCTCTACTATTTATTTGTAAGCGGGGGGGGGGGAGCCAAAAGCCCTAATTTGCCCCCGTTTCCCTCTTTTCTTCTTCTTCCTCTTCTTTCTTTCCTTTTATCTTCTCTTTCCCTTTCCCTTTCCCTTCTCTCTCTCTCTGATTTATTTTTGGCGGGGGGGGGGGAAGAGTCCTCCGCCCCCCGTTTCCCTCTTCTCTTCTTATTCTTCTTTCTTTCCTTTTATCTTCCCTTTCCCTTTCCTTTTTTCCTTCTCTCTGTCTCCCCCATCAACATAGTAGTAACGAAAGAGACCACTCTGTAATCAAGACCATTCCATTTTATTTAATACATTTTCGATATACTTAAATTGGCAACTATTACCGTCTGTCCGAGATCCTCATTTTAAACGACTGATGCGAAAGACTAGTCGACGCACCCTTTCGAGAAAAGCCCCCCCGCTTTCATCGAAAGGGTGTGTTAAAACGGTACTCCGCTCTCAACGCACCCTTTCGAGAAAAGGCCCCCCTCTTTTATCGAATGGGTGCGTTGAGCACACCACACCGCGCCGCACCGCACCGCACCCTTTCGATGAAAGCCGCTATCAACTACGGGACCTAGCCCTTAAGTCATAAATGACAGTGATGAGGATTAATGCCCCACAAAAGGGCACTAATATAGCACATCGACACGGTTTTGATCCCGGGCCTCACAGTTACGAGGCCATTGCTTTGTCACTGAATCATGACTGTACGCAGCGGGGGCTAGGGTAGGGGGCAGTTTCCATGAATAAAAACAAAACAAACAAAATGCAATAAATTTTCAATAATTTATTGCATTTTCTCCCGGTCCCAAACATTAAAAAATGATCTGGACGGCCATGCATTATGGCTCAAGGCATGGATGGGCACACAGAGCATTTTTTTCTGCGCTAAACAAAAATAATATTTTGTGAGATAATGAAAAAGTGAGGGTCAAATTTGAAAGAGCATACAATTTAAATGACAAAATCATCTTTGTTTCATCAAAATCGGTTCAGAGACGGCTGATATATCCATAAATTTAACCATTTCTAATTTTTGTGGGGCCCTACACATATTTGAAGCAGCCTTTTGCACCTTATTCCAGCCAATGCCAATGCTGACCTTTTTGTTGGCTTTTTCGTGCTGGTTACACTACGCACAAACAGCCGACCCGTCTATTGTTGTTATTAATTAATTATTTAATTAACAGTTAGTTTTTTGTAAAGTAGAGCTGAATTGGTACGATCGAATGTAATCTAACTTTTACGCATTGTGGGGTCTAACATTTATACCTTCATAGCCATTTTAGGTCCAAAAGGGGTACTAGAAATGACATCAGGTCGACGCCTACGGAATTTATCTAACATAAGGTGCTTTCACCGGGAAGCTGTAATGAATGGAGACTCCGCCTCAAAAGAATTTCCCGAGGAAAAGATATTTAAGCTTAAATTGGCTTAACAACAAAAAATGTTACCCTCTCCAGCCATCAAATCCATCTACAGCTGTCCTTATCAATGCACAGTTCCCATCTAGTATTCCAAATATTACGAAATGTTACGCAATGCCGTCTGCTTCCCGAAGTTCTCTATTCACTATGTCGTAAAAATATGCAGGCATCGAGCTTTGAAGACATGCGTGGCACTTAAAAATTAGATCATGTTCAGTGAAGATGTATTTAGCTTTAACATATAAAATACAGAATTCCCAACATATGACCAATGAAACTTTATTTTGGTTATCAAATGTTTTTTTCGTGCTCGGATAGCTCTACTGAAGACGAAACCATTTCAACCAGTAAAATCGACCAAGGAAATCGTGAGTTAGAGCGAATGTAAGGTTTTCATCATCATGATTTTCTCGTCTAACTATCCTTTTAGGGCTTGTTAGTGGCGCCTCAGGTTGCACTGTATGAGAGCTCTCCATGTTTTCATTGATTTCTCCATTATTTTTGATCCTGTCGCCATTTCTTCTATACCAGTCTGTTTACTTAGTAGTAGAGGACCTACAAGATCAGTTTGAAGTTCTTATATCTTCCGATTCAGTTGATATGACTGAACATAATTTTGGATAACTGAATCAATTTTTGCCTAGTACTGTATACATGGCAGTGGTACAGCACATTGACTTCACAGTGAGCTATTGTGTTTCATCCAGTTGATCGAGCACACATGGACATGAATGGACACATGATGACCAGTATAGTGAGGTTTACTATTGTTATTTTGCTCTGGTTCTCCATCACAACAATGCCTGATCTATCCTACTCTAGAGAGGAGCTTTTGTCAATTGGAGCTTCTTGTAAGCATAATCCAGTAACATTAGATGTATACCACACACTGCAACAATATGGTATATGTAGTGTACAGCAGAGTAGACGTGGACATCGATCCTTTCACAAGGACCAGCATCCTATTCCAGTCCTTACACGACCAAGGACACATCTGAAATTACTCCAGAGGGATCATGAGAAGAAACAAGATAAGAGAGATCTTGTAACTATTAACAGCCATTCATTAACAAACAGATATTTAACTGAGTCACGTAATCAGCAACCACAGCAAAATCTCCCATCCATCATGTTGTTTAATGCAAGGTCACTTTCTAACAAAGTCGATGACCTTCTAGCAACGGTTGATACACTGTGTAAGGATGTTCATCTGATTGCAGTGACGGAGACATGATTTTCAGAAGAAAAACCTGCTTCTGCATGTACTCTTCAAGGATATGAACAGTTCCATCATGATCGAGAAAGCCGCACTGGTGGAGGCGTGGCACTTTATGTACGAGAGGACATGAATGCTACTCGAGTCTTTGATGACATTATCCCTCGACACCTTGAAGTTTTGTGGGTCAGGTTGAGATCATCTGTGAACCTACAACTGGACAATGATATTTTTGCTTGCGTTGTCTACTACCCGCCAAGAGCTCCTTACCAAGAGGAACTCTGTACCCACATCATCAACATGGTTGATACGATTCGCATGACGTATGGCAGTGCCTCGTTCCTAATAATGGGAGACTTCAATGACCTGAAGTCTCAACCTATTGAACTACACACGTTACTTCGCCAGATTGTCACTCAACCAACCAGAGGAACTGCAGTCCTGGATAAGATCTTTACCGACATGGGAGGTGACTATCACGACTCTGTGATTACTGCACCAATAGGGAAAAGCGACCACATGGTTATTTCTCTAAAACCAAAGAGTGGTCAGATCCCTCGACAGAGATCACAGTACTTCAGTCGACCTTTTCGAGACTCCTCTTTGCGATCTTTTGGGCAGTGGATAACGCAGGCGGACTGGTCTGAGCTAGACGAGTTGACTGGTACCGACATGAAAGCTGCCCGGTTCCAACAAATTCTTACCGCTCAGTATAGATCACACTTTGAACAAATCTCCATCGTCCGTAGGCCAAAGGATAAAGAATGGATGAACAATTATATCAGACGACTGATTAGAACTCGTGATGCACACTTTCGCCGAGGGGATGTTCGTGCCTACCATCAAGCTCGTAATCTTGTGCAACGAGAGATTTTCCGCTCCAAGAAGAATTTCTATGCCCGGAAGATTCAACAGTTGAAACAGAGCGAACCTGGTAAATGGCACCAGCAGATAAGGAATCTAACTGGAATGCGCAAAGCACCACCTCTGCTGAAGGAAACAGGTAAACTTCCAGCAGAGATCGCTCATGAATTGAACTGTCACTTTGCTAGGATCTGTAATGAACTTCCTTCTCTCAACTTGGCTACCCTATCGGCTTATCTTCCTGGGCCTCGTCCCCCAACCATAGATAGGGAGGAAGTCTACAAACGGCTCAGAAGGTTGAATGCATCAAAGGCTGGACACCCAACTGATGTCCCCATCTGACTCTTAAAGGAGTTTGCGTATGAACTGTCATTGCCCTTGACCATCATCTTCAATAATTGTCTTAACAATGGACACTTTCCAAGCTCTTGGAAAACTGCATCAGTGTGTCCTGTTCCGAAAACATCACCAGTCACTGAATACAATCAGCTTAGACCAATTTCAATCACACCGATCATAGCACGTGTTTTTGAAGGCTTCCTGGCAGAATGGGTGATGGCTGATATCAAACACCAAATCGATCCAAAGCAATTTGGTAATATGAAAGGCAGCTCTGTGTCGCATTACCTAGTCAGCCTGCTTGATGATCTACAGCGGGGCCTGGATAAGCCAAGTCATCATGCAACGATTTGTACAATCGACTTCATGAAGGCCTTTGACCTCATCGACCATACGAAGGCTCTACAGAAGCTGATTCAACTGGATGTCAACCCGGCCATCATCACAGTGATAGCTAGTTTTCTCACGCAACGTACGCAGACAACTCGATATTGCGGTACATCATCATCTGAGCAAGAGCTATCATGTGGGGTTCCACAGGGAACCAAACTCGGTCCGGTAATCTTCCTAATTATGATCAACGATGCCGCCGAGACTACCTCGAAGAGATGGAAGTATGTGGATGACGTAACTATTGCTGAAGTTATCCATAAAGCAGAGCCAAGTCATCTACAGTCTCATGTGGATGCGCTATCTGCATGGAGTGAGTTGAATTCAATGAAACCAAAACCTGAAAAATGTAAGGTGATGCATGTAAGTTTCCTGCGTAATGGTCCACCTTCACCGGTGATTACTATTGGAAATCAAGTTTTGGAGTCTGTAACGTCGCTTCCCCTGCTTGGTGTTATCATTCAGACAAACCTAAAGTGGGATCTACAAGTGGAACAGGTCATCAAACGTGCATCCAGACGTTTATATATCCTGTGCAAATTGAAGAGGAATGGAGTTCCAACCAGTGATCTTGTGCTTATATACACAATGTATATCCGACCATTGATGGAATATTGTGCACCAGTGTGGAGCAGTAGCCTGACAACACAGCAGTCAGATAGCATAGAGCGGATACAACGTAGATCACTCAGGATGATATCTTACCCTGATCAACAGCACTATGAGGAACTCCTGAGCAGCTTCGGCATTCCCTCCCTTGCCAGGCGAAGAAGTGACTTACTTATCAACTTTGCCAAATCAATCCTTGTCTCCTCGCGACACCGTGATTTGCTTCCGGCAGTACGACAGCATCTCTCGCGAGGTGGACTTAGGAATTCTAACCACCTACACATTCCTTATGCAAGAACTGAACGATATAGAAAATCAAGTGTCCCCACACTTGTCAAACTGGTCAATGCTCAGTTGTAGATCATCTATAGTGATATATCATATTTGTTTTTCTTCTCTTTTTTAATAATATTGGAGTTATTGTTTTGTTACTTTGTTTAATTCAACTCAAGATCGATCCAAAATTCAAAATTCCGTGCACATTTTATTGAGTGCTCTTCATTTTTCTTATGAAGTTGTTCTTAAACCACCGTGTATAATTCTGCTGCAATAACATGATTGTAACTCAACTCCAATTTAAAATTTAATGTGGAAACTCAACAATTATGAGAATTTGTGTATGCTCATGGGCACTATACATCACTTTATATGAAATGCTTTAATGATATATTCTTAATGTAATAATTATATTCAACATAATTTGACCCTACCTGTCACACAACAGACACACCTGCATGTATAATTTTTCAGTCTATGGATCTCATGTTAACAATTGCAATATAATAATTTCCTCTCTCTCTCTTTCTCTCTCCCTCTATATATTATGTATATATTTTTTTTAAATAGCTGTTAAATTTAAAGATTATTTGTACTTGCAATAACTGGTTCAACATTTATTATCATCCATCTATTATCATGTATTTATATATGTATATAAATTTAGGTATGAGCAATAATTTTAACTTTATCTTTTATCATTTTTATTGTACATTTATATGATCATTCCTGTTTTTATGCACATTTTATGTAAACATTGCATTATTGGTCCCTGGACTACTGCATTGTACATTGTAAATGTTGATATTAATAAACCGAAATTGAATTGAATTGAATTGAATTGATATTTTCCGAAAATTTCCGAAATTTGTATATAGCTAGGAAGGTAGTCCAAAGGTTTATCTCCCTAAAGAACTAAATGAAATTGTGTTATATGTTTGCGCAAAACTGTGTCGGCGCCGATTATTGAAATCAGCACCAATGTGAGTTTGTTTTTTAGAAAGGAATGTCACGTGAGCAAAATACCAGAATCATCCCGAAGTTTCAAAAACGAGCATAAACAATGCCAAAATCGGTCAAAAGGAGGGGTTTCAATGTCCACACTCCAGGGATAGATTTTTCGATTTCGAATTATCGTCGTTTGAGTAAAAACGACAATTTTTGGTTGCAGTGTTAATCCAGCTTCCGATGATGAAATTTAACTCCCGCACGAATTTCAGTGTACTCGGCCTAAGGATCGGCGCCGTCAAGTAAGATGGCGCGGGCTGTACAGGCGATGGCGCCAACCAACGTTATATTGGAGATGGTTCTATTTTAAGTGACACGCACAGTACCTTTTCCACGTTGGCGGTTTCAAATTAGGAGGCGCTGACAATAATGCTCCAGACAATAGTAAGCCATGGGTAGTTCTAGTAGTGTAAGATGGGAATGCAAACAAATAATCGTTTGTGATGTGTAAACGCGAGCCTATTGGCGTCCATATATCATTGGGTCACAACCAAGTAGCCGCCATAGAAATACAGGGTGCACACACGCTCAGGCACCTCAAAACGGACCTGGAAGTTTCACTTGTCATCTTTATCAACGTGAGTATGATAATTACCCCCACCTCCCCCAATATAATAATCCTTAATAATAAAATATGCAGCCTCTGTAGTGCACAACTCAGTTAGGACATCTCGTCACCTTTGTCATACTGTACGTGCTGCTATATTCAAAACTATCCCAGAAGTTGAGCTCCCCGAGTCTAAGCTGACGACAGATGTTCGAGACATACTGATACCGAGACAACCAACTATCATAATAATAAAGATAAAATTTACTCCAACTGCAACTTGCCAGCTTGACCTCTACCCAGCCTGAATACTGATCAGGTCCATCTAAAAAATATATTTATTGATTTATTGATTTATTTATTTACTGATTTATTTATTTATTTATTGATTTATTTTATTTCCAGGCAAGATGATAACATACAAAACATCACAAGTTTGACAACTGATATAACATAAACTTAATGATATTTAGCACCAGCCAATGCATGAGGATCACCTAGAAGAATTTAAAAATTCTGTCTAGAGGCTCTCCACATTGGCTGGTGCATATATAAAACAAAATATAAAGATAAGGTCAACATAATTTATAAATGAATGTGTAACTAAAACTAACGGTAATATACATGTAGATCAAATACTGTTAGGATTATTTTTCTAACGGATCGAAAAAAAGAGCTGTTCAAACTATGCATGTATGATAAATGCATGCTAAACGCAGAAAACTGTGTGTTTATACAGTCATATGGATACGGTAATATTGGAAGTTAGCAAAACTGTATAACATTATTATTAATTTAATTTGGATACGGTAATATTGGAAGTTAGCAAAAGTGTATAACATTATTATTAATTTAATTTGATTTGAAGTTATCCAAATTATGGAAAATTATTATTGATATGATTGGAAGTTATCAAAATTGTGGAACATTATTATTGATATGATTGGAATTGATCAAAATTGGGGAAAATTATTATCGATTCCTAGACAAATTTAAAAGACACAGTAATCAAAGTAAGAAGGATGTGATAGAACATATTGATAGAGAAAGTACATTAAATACGAACTTAATAATAACAACATACGCGTTAAGAAATCAATAATACATATCAAAGTGTGAGTTATTCTATGATAGAGAAAAAAGTGTGAAAGCAAGCTAGTATGCTTCTTCAAGGGGAGGCAATTCAAAGAGGAAATTTTGGAGCACATTCAGAAAAGGAAAGAAATTGGTACCAAGACACAAGTCTCTGTCTTCCTATGCTTCCAAAATCTGGGAAAAACATGAAAACTAGAAAATCTCAAGCTATTGCATCTTGCTAATTCATGATTGAAAACAAGTGTATGGATTCTTCTATGACTCGGGACTGGTAGCATATATTCGGGCATGTGATTAATTCTGTGTAAGCTCTTAATTACAAATGACATTGATACATGTAGGTACACAAGTCTGTTATACAGAGGTAGCATGTTAAGGCGAGACAGGCGTTCCGTTTATGATATGGAATTAGCAACTTCGTTAGGGAAACAGAATCGGGTAAAACGCCTTTGAACACCTTCGATAGCTCGGATATGGTTCTTTTGATGAGGGAGCCATGTAGGTATGCCGTACTCAATCACAGGTAGACATAATGAACAAAAGATTTTTGTGAGAATAGGTGAGTTTCTAGATTTGACGGTACGTAGGAAAAAACCCAAAGAGGATAGAACATCTGTTAACAACACATTAAATATGGTTTTTCCAACTCAGATCTCGCGAAAAAGTAAGTCCAAAATATTTATACGATTGAACTACATCTAAAGGATTTCCGTCAGTGGAGTAAACAGTAATAATTAATTTACGGGATCTAGTTATGTGCATTACTTTGCACTTAGATGAGTTCAGGACCATGCCATTGTCAATACACCGCAGAAGTATATTATTCATGTCAGTTTGCAACAAATGAGAGTCGTTGTCGGTATAAACTTCAAGATAAAAAACTGTGTCATCAACATATTGTGGGAGGGGGGATGAAACAATTTCAGGTAAGTCGGCTGTAAAAAATTAAACAAGATCGGTCCAATAACGGAACCCTGTGGCACACCGGAAGGAACTTGTTTCCAATCCGATTTTATCCCTTCAAACAAGACACACTGTTGTCGATCTGAGAGGAAAGAACGTATCCAACACGTATCTAGGTGTAAACTTTGTTTGACTGACACTGTATATATACTTAGTTTGACGCACCTAAATGCAGATCTATCAGTGAGTTTTCCGATTTCTATTTTTCCCCGTCGGTATAAAAAATGGTACATAAATGTGTATGTTACTTGTTTCACATTGCTTTCATCTGTCGTAAACGTACTTGGTTTGACGGACCTGAATGCATCGTTATTGTCTATAACCAATATTTCGTCCCCGACGATTCAACCTAACTATAATAATTTTGTCATTTGCTTAACATAATTGCATTCACGTGTTTAGAATCGAGACTTTGAGGTGTTGCTTGTGCAATGGGGCACCCCATATGGAAACGTTTGCTTAGATTTGTCTCTTAAAAGAAGTTGACCACAAACTGGCTTCATCGGGCAGGTAGTTTCATCATGTGAATGGGAAAATTAACTATGACACGTTGAGGGGAGAGGCACTTTACATGTACAATAGGGACACACATTGTTTTTGTTATGCAGAACATAGTATTTATGTTATTTACTTATTGAAATTGGTCTACACAGACTAATAGCACGTGAATGAAATACTTCTACACCGCAAACACCTGGGAAGGAAGCATCCATAAATTTGAATACATTGAGCCAATAAATGACTCTGCTTATGGACGTTTAAGCTATGGTCACAACTCAGAGCAGCGACCGACCGATGTGTAGCCTGCTCGGTCACTGCTGGAATTTAGGCATCGCTCAACCATTTTTGGAAAAGTCGAGGAGGCTGTAGAGCCCTAGCGATACCTGGGCGATGCCATGTCGATTTCCCCTCGGTCGGTGGCCGATTTTAGGTCAAAAATGAGCAAAATTGGGAGGCTTCTCCGCTCGGCGTCCCGGCAGTGACCGACTGATGACCCGCCGATTCCTGGGCGGTCTCCCACCGGCCAACGGCTGATTTTAAAGAAATTGCCCGGCGGCCCCCCGATGATCGGGCGGTGATCGGTCGGTGATCGGCGGGGTATCTGCTGGTGTCTCGTAGGCCAAAATATGCTCGGTGCCCGGGCGGTCGGCGCCCGGGCACCGACCTATTCGAGCGTTCGCCGTCGAGCGATTTAGGTCAAAAATCGAAGCCGTTAGGTCAAAGGCTGCCGACCGATTTTGAACTCGCCGCCCAGTGACCGACTGATTTCGCAGCGGCGACCGCTTAGCAGCCTTTGACCTAGCGGCTTCGATTTTTGACCTAAATAGCTCGACGGTGAACGCTCGATTAGGTCGGTGCACGGGCGGCGACCGCCAGGGCACCGAGCGTATTTTGGGCGGCGAGTGAAAATGACCAGGCACCGCCCGAATTTTAACTCCGCGCTAAAACTTCAGCGGCGACCGAGCGATGCCTTAAAAACAAGCGGTTTCCGGGCGAAATTGGCTAAAAACTCGCCGCCCGGCCGCCGAGCAGGCTACTTTTTTGGGTTGTGACCATAGCTTTAGTAGAGCAGAAAGCAGTGGATTCTTTAAAAACAACACGAACTCAGTTCTACAGAATTTAGTACGCAAATGAAATTTTGTGCGGTTAGAAAATGCATCTTTCTACCCTGCGATTTTAATTATACGAGCCAGTAAATTAAAACAGTAAAATGGCTCTTATTTAAAAATTAATCATTAAATAGAACCAAAGACTTCAGCGGTATCAGGAACAATAGGATATATTTTATCAATAAATAGACATTGTGAAAGTGTAGCATTTTCCGATACAAGAAGCCGATTAAGCGATGATGACGTCGTTAGAAACTGTTTTTTGCGCTTTCATCTGGGACTTCAGACGCTGAAGGTTATTTGTCAAGCTTTTATGTTTCCTTTATTGCGACAAAATATACAGTCGATCAAAACATGTTTAAAGGCCACTCTAACCAAAACGGGCTAAAAAATAAAACAAGTCATGTAGAATAATTTTCGACGGAGATTTCGAACATGACAATGATTTTTCTTAGAAATCATCAATAATTCTGGAATCGATAATTAAAATTTACGACTCAGAACGCTCAGAAAAAAGCTCAGTTTCGGAGGTGTATTGCGCAATAGCATATGACATCACTGCGGGACATAACATAGCACTTCAATGGAAATACCGTACTATAAGTTCTATAACATACACAAAATCAACTAAATCTTCAACAATTGTTCAAATAATGGTCATGATTTAAAAGTCGTTATCTTTCTTACCTGTGTAGTGTCAATTTTTCTTATATATTTTGGAGTATTTTTCCTAAAATCAAAGACAAAATGCATGCACTTTCTTTCTATACAGGTTTCACGGCAAACCGCTGCACAATACAAGCGCATATATAACGACGATGGGGTGCGGGCGCACGCGCGTGCGTGAAGTAAGCGACAGTAATCTCAGATCCTCATTAAATTCATGCAAGTAATTCACATTATGAACTGATGATGATCATTACGGTCGATAACTTCGCGCACCCCATCGTCGGTACGGTATGCACTAGTATTGTGCAGCACTTGCCGTGAAACTTGTGAGAAAGTGCATGCATACACATTACTAATGTCTTTGTTTTAGGGAAAACACTCCCAAATAGATAAGATAATTGACACGAAACAAGTAAGAAAGATAATGACTTTAAATCATGACCACTTTTTGCTGAGGATTTAGTTAATTTGGGGTATGTTATAGTAGGGTATCTCCACGACGGAGTCACGGGTCGAGATACGACGAAAATATGGTCTCACAGTTCTGAACAAGCGCTGACAATTGACCATAGTAACATCGATCGAACCCTATCACTATCAGTTCGAGCCAGAGCCAGAGCCAGAGCTCGACGAGGCGCCTGAGGCTGAGGCAGAAGCAGACCGGTAGATCTAGACGTTATGTAAATTGTCAACTGACTGAGACTGATAAAATATAGGTCAGATCTAACATTAGTCTAGACTAAACCACTCGTACTCCACTAGCACTCTAGCAAAGCATAGAGAGTCAATACATTCATGCGCACGTACCGTACGTACGGTGAAATTGAAAGTGCCAACGAGCGGTCTTAACAAAAACTCAGTTAGTATTATGCTTCCTAATCCTTTCTTGGTGGCTTGATAGTATCGGTAGATTCCAGCCATAGAATTGAAGAAGAAAAAAAATAAGCCGCAAGCGTATAAGAGCACGAATGCCAAAACAAATATTGATAAAAGTAAAGACCGTAGACTCTTTGCCCACTCGTTTGATAATTTGTGTTCTAAAGAAAACTGACACCAGACTGACAAGAACGCCCACGCAAAATAATGAAAGGACCGTGGTATGAGTTCATTAAAATGTCTTTAAAAAGGCAAACTATGATATTAATTTATTCCAAAAAATAATATGCACTTGATAACCCCAGAACGTTTCTGGCCATTTCGTCATTCCTAATTATGAATTACATTGAGATTGTATAGTTGTAGGATAAATAAATACAAGGACATTCCCGCAGTGACGTCAAATGCGTCATCAAGCCACGTGACAGTATTACCTTTTTCGAGGGGCGTAGCCCAGCAAGCGTGAGATTTGTGAAAAATGGATGGTTATTATCATTTTTTGGTCAATATACAGATTTTCTGAAAAATCAGAGGCCGGAATATTAATAAGTAGAGATGTATTCATGTTTTAAAGGCTATGTTAGTTGGGTTAGAGTGGTCCTTTAATACCAGAAGAAAGCTAACGATAAGTATATTCTTTAGCCGCTCACCCAAAAACTGTCTGACCACAATGTAACGAGTGAGAGCTAGCGAGAGCGGCTGAAGTGTGATTGAAACTAGCTAGATATAATAATTTACCAAATATATCAATTGATTGGTAATAAGAGCTTCTATTTCATTTTTGTTAATGGAGGCGTTTCCAAAACGGGTCTTTACCATTTAAGATATTGCAAAGTTTTGGGAAATTTTGAAATTTGGATCGATAATTATTCTTTAAAATGTTGATATATATGAATGCTCCTATGAATGTATTATAAGCACTAAAAAAATAGCCCCTAAAACACTTCTGCTTTCGAAAAATTGAATAATAAAAATGTACCGGTGCTCCCGGTATATTTTTAATATTTTTATATAATTGCGCTTAAGACCATTCCATGGTAGCTGAGACGATGAAAATGTCGATTGTATTAATAAAAAAAAAATTGTTTAAAGCTAAAGTAATATCAGCCTTGAGAGGGAGCTATACAACACAAAGAGTTTATTATTTACAATTTCATCACTTTAGACTCGATTTCAACCGCGAAAACAATCACTAAATATTGTAGGATCGCACATGCATCCAAAATGATTATTTGAACCGAATTCATGTGGAATTTATGTTCGTTATCGAACGCATACCTTCGCGAACAGCTGCATTATGTAATCTTTTGTTATATGCATTCTCGTTATTCGAGATTCGAGCTTACACGCTCATTCTCGGTTATGCAGTCAGAGCTCTGTTACCCTCCCATCCCAAAATAACTTCCCTTTTAAAACTATTACATATATCATATTAAAGAAGCAAATGCATAGCATTTATTTACACCGATCATTATTTGTGTCATGATCATGATCGTCAAAAGTTGTCGCCCTTTTATGCGACCACGCTATTTTTGTCGGTTTTGCTGTTTTGTTTCTTTTTTATATCTTCCATTTGGCAGAAGAATGGAGCAAGCTGTCCTCGCCACTCCAGGATCCATCATTACAAGCCTTGGCAGTCTATGATCTTCCTTCACTCCTGATGACTGCCAAGGCATCTTCAACCACCAAGCAATACCTTCATTCTTGGAAAAGATGGGAGGATTGGGCCACGTCTAAAAAAGGTGTGTCGGTTTTCCCGGTGCAATCCTTCCATTTATTTCTGTACATATCACATTTGGCTACAACCGGCATGAAGTCGCTTGCCGACTCTGCGACAGCAGCTATAAAGTGGGTCCACAACTTAGCAGGTCTGCATTCTCCTACCGATAACCCAATGGTCAAGCTCGCCCTGCAAGGTTTCAAACGCGCCACATCTTCACCGACACTAAGAAAGCATCCGATCACCCCGGATATTCTGATGAAGATCTACGAGAAATACGGGCATGACCATGCTTCTCTAGCAGATCTACGGGTTTTGTTTGCGTGCTTCATTTCTTATGCTGGTTTCTTGAGATTTGATGATCTGAAAAATATTTCCAATAACGACCTCACATTCACATCTGATCGTCTCGTCATTCATCTCGCGAGCTCAAAAAAAGACCAATTTAGACAGGGGTCTGATGTCGTTATCGCTAGATCATTCAAGCAATCATGTCCAGTTCGTGTAGCTGAGAGATATCTTGCAGCCCTCCGAGATCCTCCGGGCTCGCTTCTACCTGTCCTTCGTAGACTATGCTCATCTACCAAAGGTTTAACTCCTACCGTTCACCCTCTCAGTTATACCCGTACCCGTGAAATAGTGCTAGACGCCATCAAGCCGTTTGTAACTGACATCTCAGCTTACGGTCTCCACAGCATGAGGTCAGGAGGGGCAACTGCAGCCTTAAACGCCAATGTCTCACTTTTTCTGATTTCGAGGCACGGACGATGGAAGTCGACGAAGGCCAGGAACGCTTATTTACAACCCGACGCCAAGTCTGACCTCATACCTTCACAGAGCCTCGGAATTTGAATCACTATCGTTCGTATTTGACTATCTAGCACGTATATTCGTAGTATACTGCCAACAATTTCGCTATTTTACACGTATGTTTACATGACACCTACAAAACTCTTATCCAAAATAATTGTAGGTGCACGGTTTTTTCATAAACAAGGAACAGGGAGTGCGCCCTCGTTCAGTTCCCTTGGTCGCAACCACGTTTCCTCCAAAAAATAACAAATACATTGGGGGTTGTTCGTGGCCTCCGTAAACTAGTGTCCAACACTAGCTAGGCACTGGACGCCTTGTTTTCCATTTTCGCTAGGTTTATCCTTAAAACTAAATAAATAAATAAATAAATATAGATAAATCGCACGATTAGCTTCCACCTAACAAAATTGATGTATATATTTCGTGCGCATGTAATGCTTTCCGTAGGCGCCTAAATACAGCCTACCTGGTTCTACATATTTAAACGTGTCTCATGTTTACTGTCTATATTACACGTCGTGTTATTATCCATCAAATTGAAAGAAGAATTTGTAAAAAGAAGAAGTGTAAACAAAAATAAAGAAAAGTCAAGAGCCAGTACTGCTCCGTAACAATCTGTTCACCAATATCCTGTTTCAAACTTGTCATTTATTTTGTATTAAGGTAGATATAGAATATAAATTAACTTTCTGACGGAACGTAAGTGGAGGAAGAAAGACCCCATACCAAAACTGTGTACTACCAGGGAGGTGAAAGAAGGGAGTGGTAACTCTTGTAATTTATTCAAACGCATTCGTGAGTTCTAAAGTGTAACAATGGGATGTGTAACATTCCACCTGGCTTTGAAGTTCCATGCTCCGAACCGCGTTTCCACTGCGGGGAATTTCGGAGGCCATGCACCAGTTTCACATTTATTACAACATATCAGATTGCCGGCAAATCAAATATGTGTAAATTATAAACTTTATATGGGGAATGTTGTGGGAATAGTGCATCAAACAATTTTTCCAATTTAGTACTCCGCCCTTCCTATAATTTTTGTGCCAGAGATGGTAAAAGAAAAACTAGATCCGGACAAAAAATCAATGTTTTAGGATAATGCGCTAATTTGTGCGTGTTTTAATGCCCCGTTATTTAATTCATGATATACAATCTTCGATAACTATAAGTTGGCTAATGCTTGTTTTTGCGTGTTTTCTGTATGTTTGCAGTTGGAAAAAGGATGAAATTATACAAGTTTTTGTTCGCATGTTCTACTCATTACACATTTAACAATCGATGAGAAATCATTAAAAAGGGACAGCGAACAGTTGCTGTGATACCATTTCTGATGTAGGAATTCTAAATCTTGAAATTACATGCGCTCTTTTATCTCACCACCTGGTCAACAGTTGCAGATTAGCGCATAACTTTTCGGCGGCTTGGAACATGGGGTAAGAGGAGAGCGGCTTGATTCAAGGCCTTCTCTATCACGTCCCTGGTACTACCTTTAAGATATGTTAGTGGTATACATTTCATGTCAAAATTATATTCAATTACAAAGTTATTGAAGATTTATATTTGTCAAGGTAATTTTCACGTTTTACAATATTAGACACGTGATTACGTAATGGAGATGACGTCAAAAGTCCACAAACACATGCACTAATGGTCTTCATAAGAAGTCTGCACAACATTCCGTTGTTGAAATATGATGGTCGACAGTCATGCATGAAAAACAAGAAAATGGCGCATGGAAGGTCACGTGACCACTTTGTCGAGAAAAAAATCTTGATGTTATGTTCTGGACCTTGACTAGAGATTATTGAGATATTTGCCAAACAAATTTACATGAGAGAATAAAAAGAAATACATAAATAATATTTATAATCAAGAAAATAAAAGAAACTCGACGAAATTAAGAAGTGATCCGTTGGATCACCTAATAATAATAATCATAATATTAAAAATAATAATAAAAATAATAATTACCATTAATAAGTAAATAAATAGATAAATTAATCTGTTTAAATTAATTTTTTTTTAAATCGAAGATATCTTTAAGCGATATGTACTGTGCCTATTGTATGTCGACGGTTTTAAAAAAGATAGCGCTGAAAATTATCAGGATAATAACGTCTGGGTTGTTTTTACACTCCCGCATCCCCCAATGGATTTGGAAAGTTTGTGTGTCATTTTCATCGTACTAAATAAGACAATTAAAACTCCAAGTAAAACATTCTTTAGGATGAAATATGCAGCATCGGTGAAGCGCAAGTACGTAAGCACATCTCGTCACCTTTGTCATACTGTATGTGCTGCTATATTCAAAACTATCCCAGAAGTTGAGCTCCCCGAATCCAAGCTGACGACAGATGTTCGAGATATACTGATACCGAGACAAATATCAATAATAACGAAGATACATTTTACTCCAACTGCCACTTACCAGCTTGACCTCTACCCGGCCTGAATACTCGTTTTGAGGCATGTTTTAATTATAAATATTATTCAAATATGTATTATCAAGTGTGATTAAGAGATTCAGTGTTAATGTATTGAAATATATTCCGTTTTATAAACCTCGTAGAAATGAAAAATATATATTAATTGCATATTAAACAAGTGCTAATTATATTAATCATTTTTGGGTTCTTTTAAAGTTCAGAGAATACCCTTTGCTTTATTTTACACCTCTACTTTGAAAGATATTTCACTACGTTGTGTATATAGATAAAGGTGACCACAAGGTAAAATATCTCAGAATATATCAGCACTCGAAGGATCGATCCATCGATTAAATCTGCTTTGGCAACATGGTTCGCAAAATAAGTAACGGCTAATGCTGCATTTTCTTTGCAAAAATATATCACATTTGTGTGTTTTCATACATACACATCAATGACGTAATATATACGCTAATTTTGCTGAAGGTATCTCATTTCTTGATTTACCTTAATTTTAACTTGCCCTAACCCCACCAAAATAATATTTAAAAACATGATAATAATAATAATAATAATAATAATGATAATAATGATAATAATAATAATAATAATAATAATAATAATAATAATAATAATAATAATAATAATAATACAAATTATAATAATATTAATAATAATAATAATAATAGGAAATAAAAAAGTAAATGAATTTTATGAAAATATATTAATTAAATTATGTATTTTTTAACAACTGAGGGTAACATCAATTCCATCATTTCGACGTAGGTGTATTTATCGTCGGTTTGAATTAAGTTATATATAAATATATACAATTTTATTGAAATCAAAACATCAAAACCCAAGAGCAAACGGTTCGAAGACTGACACCTGTCTCGGGTACAAACTAAAATTTAAATCAAATATACATAATAAAACAGCAGTAATGAATAAATATATAAGTTACATAAGTTAAAATATCAACTAACTAAACTATCACCACTAAATATTGCAAAAAGGACATATGAACAATAACAACAATCAATATACATCATTACAATTACATCAACAGAGGACTTTCGAGCTGTGCAATAACTAAATCAGGCGTAGACCTAGAGTCTATTTATACAAGTCCACGCTTATGGAATTATCTACCACACATTGCATCAATTGATTTAAACCAAAACCTAGTTATGCGCCGTCTATAGAAATCAGCACCAAAATAAGTTTGTTTTCCAACTTCCGAGATGGTTAATTAAACATCATTTATTTATACTATCTTTATTTCAAACCGGAATACATTATATATAAATTCTTTGTTAACGACAAACAGGCTGCATTTCTATTTACACATCACATCCCAAGCACCGTTTTGAAAAATCGTTGATTTGGGGGACTACCATTTCGCTACTACAAAACCCCCATTCAAAGCCGTCGATTTGTGCTCATTCCGATTTGTAGGAGTGTAGTGGGCTTGCGCCACTTGTCACTGTCCTGCATGCGTAACATAGAATCGAGGTGAGTCACGTGAGCAAACAAAAATGAATCGTCTCGAATTTTAAAGAGCGAGCATTAATATTACACAATCTCGGCAGGCGTTCAAAAATCAATTGAGGGAATTTTTCTAGTTTGATTTTTCGTCATGTGACAAAAGTGACAATTTTGTATTGCAGTGAAAAAGCACGATAAAGTTACGATAATGATGAATTTCGTATCCGGACATCTTCCCCCTGGACTTCCACCCCCCCCCCCCCCCCCATGGGTAAGCACCCCCAGTCAACTACCCCCTAGGACAACGTCCCCCTAACGCAACCACCCTCTAGGACGACTAACCCCAGGACAACTACCCCCCAGGAAAACTATCCCCTAGGGCAGCTGTCCGGGGGTGGTTGTCCTAAAGGATGGTTGTTGTAGGGGATAGTTGTCTGGGGGGTAGTTGTCCGTGGGTAGTTGTCCTAGAGGGTAGTTGTCCTAGAGGGTAGTTGTCCTAGAGGCAGTTGTCCTAGAGGGTTGTTGCCCTAGGGGGTAGTTGTCCTAAGGGGTAGTTGTCCTAAGGGGTAGTTGACTGGGGGTTGTTATCAGTGGGTGGATGTCCAGGGGGTAGGTGTCCTAGAACCGATATATTTATCTATCAAAGAAATTCAGGTGCATTCGGCAACGGATTGGCGCCGCCAACGTCATAGTGAAGATGGTTCGATTTTAAGTGAGACGTACTGTGCTAACTTTATGTCGACGTTTTTAAATTTTTAAGACAATAGTTTTTTTTTTTTAGTAGTGTAAATGGCAGTCCAAAAGTTCGACGACTTTTCAAAATGGTGATTGGGCATATTGACGTCCATATGTCATTATGAAACAACCAAGCAGCCGCCTTAGAAATACATGATGCACACACGCTCTGGCACCTCGAAACAGATCTTGAACTTTTGTGTGTCATCTTTATCATAGTTGGTATGATAAACTCCCCCCCCCCCCTTATGATAGTCCTTAGAATAAAATATGCAGCTTCGGTGGTGCGCAACTCCGTAAGGACATCTCGTCACCTTTGTCATACTGTACGTGATGTCATATTCAAAACTATCCCAGAAGTTGAGCTCCCCGAATCCAAGCTGACGACAGATGTTCGAGATATACTGATACGGAGACAAATCCCAATAATAATAAAGATACAGTCGACTCCAACTGCCACCTGCCAGCTTGACCTCTACAAGGCCTGAATACTGATCAGGTCCGTATCTAAGCCGCAATCCCGGACCAACTGTATAAAAGAAAGAAATAAAGTTTCTTCAATTGTCATGGCTATTCAGACTATGGCTCTTTGATACTGAGATATATAAGTGTAAGTGTTATTGATCTATTCATGTTTTAGTTTTTTTAATATAAAGGAATACGACTTTTGACTTCTCGTTATCATTACTGTAGAGATCGTTTTGTAATAATACCGTGGGAAAGTCTTAAATGTCAACCTATTTACTTACAATGATACCCCCTGGCATTACTACTGGCCCACAGGGCAAATACAAGTGCACCGTTCATACCCGGCATTGAAAGGCTGACAGTCTTTCTTAGTTCTAAAACACAGAAGCAATTTTAGCACTCCTATTCAGACTTGAGATGGTGATTTAAAAGCTTGTTCTTTCATTAATTTCGAGAAAAAAAACAAAAAATTAATATTGACTATATGAAGGTAGCATAATGTTAACATAGTCAATATAGTCTATAGAATCTAGATGATGAAATTATTCAAAACCATGGTCGGGTCAACATGGCATGTGCGTTTAATCTCAATTTGTAGCAGATCTGCTAGCATAGAATGGTCAATGATCTGTAGTCGGTCTAGCGGTGAAACTTCGATTATATTAATGCAATTATTTACCATAAGATGATGGGTCGTAATCCGGGTCAACGTCTGACGATCCTGCGATTGACGAAGTAAACTCATCATCTTGTTCGTATGTACCTGCAAATTTGTCAACGGTTAACAATGTGTAGAGCAGTTAAAAGAGGGGGAACTTGACATTATGAGGTACATGTCGTTAATAGTAAGATGACTGGTTAAGTTGTATGTGTAATGAGGAAAGTTATACGGTAAAGTTATACGGTACAAACCAATAGACCTGTATCTACTAAAAACGATTAGAAATGTTCAGGATAAGTCTATAGTTGTTAATATCATGTTTGTTTTAAAAGATGCAAAGAAGACAAAGTTAAGGGGCAGTACCAAAATCATATGCAGATGATATTGTTTAAAAGTATTACTATCACTACTGTAATGAATCGGTTTATTTATAAAAAAAAAATACTACATCGGATAAGATCTGACAAATTAATAACTTTACTCCCCACTTTGCTATTAAATGGTTTCGAGATTTCTTTTCACAAACATTATTAAATATTACTTTGATGTTGTAGCCATTTATATCGAACATGTCAAACCTTGCCCTAACCAAGTATAATATTTTGTCTTAACCGACTGAATACTCTTCCCTAAAACATATCGAAAAATCACCGACATCCATCCTAGCTGCTGTTTACCACATATCATAAGGAAAAAATATCAGGTGAAAGATAGCAGATTTTCCCCTGTCAAGAGTGTTTAAGAGTATCCACTACAATCTACAAAGTCAACTGTCGTGACCATAGCCCTTTACTAGAGATAGACACTTGATTCAAAGTCGCCTGATTTACGGTTTGTATTTCTTTAATAAGTATGGAAATCAATAGACCTATTTAAACCTTCAAAGGGTTTATTGTAAATTATATCATGTATCTATTTTCACCTCAAATCACTCACTTGCGGGAGGGTAGCAGACTATGCCACTTTCAACTGTAGTATTTGTTCGCGTTCTCTTGGTAACTTTGCATTCTGAGAGGTGTTCTTCATGGCCGTAACACTTTACCCTAGACAAGCACTCGGTACCGTTTCCAGCAGGTGGACCACCAACGACTGTGATACCGTAGGGGTAGCCAAAGCCTAACTCCCGGCAGACCACCTCAGCATCGTTCATGTCCCAGTCAGCAGCACAAATGCCTCCCCAATCTCCATCGATAAACACGTCTACACGGCCGGCATATGGATAGTGGGTCGGTCCCTTTTCCACAAACTGCACTTGATATTCTGCCATTTGAAGCAGAACAGACAAAATAATGATGTACCACTCCAGGAATCGAAAAAAGCAGTACAAATAACAATTAGTATTCTATTTTATCGCTAATCTAAAAGGCTGTACTTGTTTCCATTTTCCAAACTTAAAATCAAGTATGGTTAGAAAGTGTGATTTAATTCAATAACGGTGCCTTTTTAGAGTTTATTGTTTCTCACGATATGCCTTTATGTTTAAAATACGTAAGAAAAGTGACCTTTGTAATAATATCTTCAGTTTTTTACAGGATCTTTGGGTAAATTATGTTAGACACGTATATACATATAGTTATGAACTCTTGTACAGCCTCAAGATAAGGTTATTTGTTTTTAACAGATATTGTTATCTATTGCATGTCAATGGAATGTAATATATCATGTATATAGTGATTATAGCACAAAAGACCAATGGTTGATCATTCATATTTGTAAACATACTAGGCCCATGCAAATATTGCAAATGAAAACTCCGTATAATACTTGTATTAATCAAAATTATGTGCTGAGCAAGTATTGAACAAAGACTAGGATAATACTCACGACTTTCCGCTGATGAAACGGAGAAGAAGCCAAGAAGAAAACATAATACCAGTTTCAACTCCATCGCTGTCATCTTCATATCCGACTCACAGCAAGAAGAACTAATTAATGAAAAAAATATGTTCGTCAACCTTTTAATATATGCGTCCAGTGCAGCAATGGTAACGCGCGAAAACGTGCGAGAACAAATGGCGCGCACACGTAATTGCTGTTTCAACGGCCAATGAGGAAATACAGGAAGATAAACAAACTTCGCTGGAAAGAGTCATTATACCTGAGAAAAACAGGAAGTACCCACTTTCAATGCGTCAACCGATATCAGTGTATCATTATCAATATGTTTAACCAGGATCTTTGTTTGTGATTCCTTTGAGTAAAATAACATAATTGCACAAATGAAGAAAAAATGTTCATACTAAATTACATCTGTCACTAGAAAGTCGATATCAAAATGTCAGTGTGTCAGATGTCATCTTTATTATTGATATGGATATAGTTTTCTGGTATCTCGCCAATAAGGAAATAAAGCTAAACTGGTATCCATGTCTTTTTCAGTTTTTTTCTTTTTCAACGTTTGTTGATTTGTTTTTAACATATTTAGTGACAAGGTCCAGGATTTATTTTCGAGCCCTAAATCTAAATACTCGTTAGGATGTTTTTAAGATCAAAACAAATTAAATTTGTTGCCATTACACCAATTTCACTACAATCTGCAAAACAGAAGTACACCTCTAAACAACCATAACTCATTTTGTTAATCGATGGTTCCGTTTCTACCCTTTATCTGCTAAATATGAAATATAGCTTGAATGGTGATGTTTCGAGTGAACGATATTGCTTTACTCATAAATATGCTCTATAAACTGATATACTTTTATGTGTTGCATCTACTAAATACAACAGGTTAAACTATGCTTCATATTCAAACTGCATTCGTGGTTTATTTCATTCAATTTAGGAAAAATATTGCTAGTCTATTTGATATCAGCATTATCATTGGAATGAAAATTCTATTCATGGAGAAAAGTTGATAACCGATAAAAACTGCATCCGTTTCCAGAAGTATTTTGAGATGTTTCGCAGTATTAATAGATTCTATTTAATATGTTTGGTACTTTCATATTCTGGTTTTATTTTTGGAAACAAACTTAGATTGGTATTATATTCTTATTACGTTATCTTTCAAAACTCCAATTTAATAGATGAACGTATACACATACTTCAACGTGCGCTTTGAGAACGTAACTGCTAAGAAATAAGTTATTTTAAAAAAAGAAGCACGAATCTAAAATTGTTTTTAACAAACAAGGAAGGAAATCGAAGAAATTTGATGATCACGCTTTACGTTTCAAATCCTTCCAGGCTCTATTTCAAAACAGGCAAAAAGCCAAAGTATTCTTATAAAATATCATAAACAAACCTCTTGAAGGCTTGCATGACCGTTGAGGTTTATCTTTTAACCATGTCACGAGAACTTACATAACTAAAATAAAATATAATAAACCCAACAAAGCGCAAAGCGGGATAGATTTGGTATTACAGTCAGAATCGTTTGTAGTCACTAATACAATGTTTCTGCCCTTAGTTTACATGATATCTTTGAGTCAATTATTGGCCCTTAATGTGAATTAACGAATCATTTTACAATACAATGAACCTGGACACATGGCAATTGGGAATGAGGAAATAAATATAAGAATATTTTAAATGATAAGTTCATTAAACAAAAGAGGAAGACATTCATATTACAGGGGAAAGTATTTGAACAGATCCAGGGTATTTGTTTCAACATTATGAGTTAGCTCTTTTTTTTGTTTATAATTGCAGGGTAATTCAAATAGCAGAAAAACAGTATTTAATTTTGATTTTGAAAAGAATATACACATAATTGTTTCATTTTTAGATCTTACTTAAGACAGATATTCTCAAAATCAACGAGTGCAATTTTCTTAGACACGTCATTTAATTCATATACTAAAATAGATTAACAGTTATTTTTAAAATCAGTTTTGAATTATAGACTGGCGAGAGGAAAAAGTCATTTGAGCGTATCACTTTCAATTTTAATCAGCATTCTTTGAGACCTATAAATTAAAACTTAAAAGGAGTAAGTATATATCCAGAGTATATTTTGCCTCAATACAGTCAAGAAGAAGAGTTTCGTTTATTTGTATGCCATGTACATGGATGGTAGTGCCTATAATTTTTAGCAGTGAATCTTCATGATAGTTTTCCCTTGCATGATTATATAATGAGATCTTTTGAAATGTTTCTGATTTGACATCTTTCAGGACTCAGGAGGCTTTCTGGATAGCGTCTCTTTATTGCAACAATTCACGCCATGTACGATATCGTATAGCTTGGCTAGGAGAGTCCGACAAAACAAATCCAAACAAGAGCAGTCTATGCCTTTGAATCTACCATTCAACCCTGTCTGTTAGGATCTGGGAATATTTTGTAACAGTCATACCATAAATGATAACCATTTCTTGCAGTAAAGCAATCTATTGGTCATACAGTATTCAATTAAATGTGTATTTGAAGGATTAATTGAAGCTTAATTGATATAAAGTTAAACAATTAGTATATTTCTAAATGTGAACCATTATCATTAGCTGTTGTTCCTGATGGATGATTTACTGTAACTAAGATATCATAAATGATTAGCGTTCCCCTTTTTTTGGGGGGGATTAGAACATTTCGAATGGAATGCACATACGTATATTTGGCGGCTTTTAGCTCAAAACTGTTAATAGTAATGGATAACATTTTGTAGAAAGTTTAGAGAAATTGCGCATGGGTGTAGTGGATTGTAGGCATATGCTGTCAAAACTTTGGAACTTGAGAGAGTATGACAAAGTATCCCATCAGAGTCATAAAACGTAAAGTTGATTGATCACCGTGATTTTCTTTAAATTAGTCTGAAATGTATAAAATGTAATGAGTAAAAAATACATTTACCCAAAGATATGAAATGTATCGTGTACACGATATTTGGTTTACAAATAGGGGGGGCTGTGTGTTTGTGTGTTTGCTGTTATTTGAGGGGACACAAAGGCTTTCTATATTTGTATTGATATTTTATTTTTTTCATTTCTCTTTTATGTAGATACATCTATTATATTAATTAATATATTTGACAATTCACCGATGTTATATGGTTATTGTTCATTTCACCATAGTATAGAGATACAAGTATTGACAATATACTGATGCTATAAAGTATAAATTTATAAATAAAGTATTGAAATATTGAATAATAAAAGGTTACTGTAAAAGTGCTGCATATTTTCATGACTTTCATTTTTAAGAGTGTGTGGTAAGTGGATTATTTGTCAACAGATAAACACAGTTTAATGAAACACCTTATGTCCAATATTTTTAACTTACTGATCAATATTCGTCACCAATTTATTCCAAAAAATTATACAGTAGCGTGTTAACCAGGAGGAGAGAGAGAGAGAGAAAGAGATGAAACTGGACTGTGAGAACAATATCTTAACTTCATCGTTAGACTATCGAACCGGCATGTAAGGAACCGTCGACTTTCAACAGTTTTCGTACACTTTTGACTGTATACAAATTAATTCATCGAAGTCCGTCTGCACTCCTTTTTTAATGAAGCAAACTGAAACAAGGTTTAACATATGATACTGCTGTGTTTCTTTCTTAAAATAGATGAAAAAAAATCAATTTTGTTAAAACATTTTTATGACAATTGCTCTTGAACTACATGTTTTATGTGTATTGTAGGTTTTAAACAATCATGTTCTGGAGTATTTTTACTGCAATCGTTAGATAAACTTCTTTTGAGCAAATCGTATTTTTCTCTCTCTTTCATTTCTCGTATACTTTCTCGATTATAGAAACGGATGTTATTTAATTTTTCTCCACTAATGTAGATGCATTTTATTTAAACGCTGTTACACCTATCTAATGAAATTCAAGGTGGTCAGCATATGCCAGATCTCATTCAAAGATATTGTAGTTGTTGTATCGTCATATCGGAATATCGTACACAGCTGCGTATGTTTCACCATTTTTTTTATAAATAACTACACAATCGTTATATCTACAGACGATAGAAGAAGATTTTTAAAAACTGTATATTTTTCAATACAAATATAATAACTTAGCTTATTTTACCTCCGTCCCAGTCTCTCTATTTCTTTCTTTTTCAATTTCTTTCAATTCGGTTTTGGAATGGGAGAGGAATATATCTAATCACGAATTTAATGAGATATTTAGATTATGTCTTCGGCGTTATGACCTAGATATAAGAGTAAGAAAAGACTTGAAGACAAAAAAATGTAATGTTAGTGTTCAGCAAGTATAATTGTAAGAGAAGGAAAAACGGAAAGGTTTTTCATTCCCATTTAACGCACTCAACTGTGTTATGTCAGATTAAAGTTATCATTATTCAATATTAATGCCATCGTACAAAATGGTCGTCATATCTGGGCGCTCTTTCTCCCAAATGAAGATGAATTTCATGTTGTGAAATCAAACAAAATAAGCTACAAGCACAGACAATAGACATACGTGTATTTGAAGGTTCATCTCATGATATCACACATTTTACTAATTTATGATCTTACAAAGAACAACAAGTAAAACAAGAATAATACTCTTATAAGTTGAAATTATTACTCAAATAACAAAAGAGTATCACATAATAAATTCTAATAAATTCAGCCAAGCATACTCTATGAAATACGTCATCAATATACCACATAAACCACACAACTGATCAATTCGAAAGAAAAAAATGTTTAGAATACTTTCTCTTACGTGGCAGACAACGTCATTGTCGTCAACAGATGCATGTTCCGGAGACCAACTGTGGATAGTAAAGTGTAAGCGTGTCATTCTTTGACCATCCAATGAACATCCAAAGGAAATGGACAGAAGTTTCTCTTTCTTGTTTATATACATTTGCTGATAGATGTAACAGAGAGAAATTGTAATCTCGTATCAACTTATTTTTCATCTTGATTATCAGGTTATTTTCAATTGATGCATCGGGATGAAGGAGGCCTCCCGAGTGCCCCGCCTTGTGAAGTCCATATCAATAGCCA